ATATATATATATATATATAACACTTAGTCTGGTCAAAAGAATCTTTCATATGTAAAATCCTCATCAAACAGTGTAAAATTGCTTCCTTGACGTTAATTGTATCATACCTTTTACAACTTTCGCTCTGCTGGAAAAGTTATAAACATCACGCAAGCTATAATATTTTATCTGGTACGGCCTTAATAAACGAATTGAGTCACTGCTAGCGGCATTCCCTTTATTCTTTAAACGACAAGGAATTTTTTGGTGAGACTTAATAAGTATATTGACTAGTATCGCAACTATTTCTGCACGCTTATTTGCCAAAAGTTCCCAAACGGCTCGGCGCCAGTGACTCATTCACAATCGTATGCTGCGAATGCCGCATTATACTTAAGTCAGCCTTTCGACATAAGTTACTGTTCTATACGAACACAGATATATTTCTACGATTATATTCAATATGGGGGCGAATAAGTAATAATTATTTTAAAAAGGCAATCGTTTTTTTTTAATAAATTAAATACTAATATTTCGCAGGTGTCTAGAAAATATTCCAAACCTCTAAAATAAAAAATGTGTACGATGCGATTAGTGTAACCAAGGATGTTGAATACTGAATGTGGCAAAGTTCGCTAGATCTTTGTAAATCATCCAAACTTAAAAACCATCATTAAAAAAATATATATGAAGAATTCTCGATACAAGTGTCGACAAAAATTTGGAGAATAGTGATGGGCTGAATTGTCGGTACCCAATGCTCGGTACCCAATACTTGAAGAAAATTTCGGTACCCAATACTTTCTTTTCGGTACCCGATACCGATTCGATACATTAAACCTTCCTCATTACATATAAGCTTCTTGTCAGCTGATTAAGTTTAGTCACATTTTTTATAAAAGTCTAGCACATTACATAACCAGCACCACATTAATGCACAGATTAAACTGCAATAATTTTTTTTGCTGACGGTCCTAGGCATTTTCCTCCATATAAATGTAATTGGAGATCATACTTTATAGGGGAGAAAACCGTCAGCCAAAAAAATGATTAAAAATCAACACAATTTTCTAGCTTCTTGAAATTTGCACTTTAACCAACTAAAATTTAATGGGCTATAAAACTGCATAAAAATTTTAAATGTTGTAGGTGTAATTGTCAAATATTGTTTAATTTTAATAAATTTAGTACCAAGTTTGAGATGTGGATTTATGTGGGGCTGGTTATGTAATGTGCTAAACTTTTATAAAAAAATTATAAATAATTAATAGACAAAAGAAAAATAGCCAAAACTGGTCAAAATGTCACTTAACTTAATCAGCCAACCGCAAGGTTATACGTTTGAAGTTTGCAGAAAAAAAAAATAATATTCATTGCTATTTTATACATATGACATCGCCTGAAATAAAAAAAGGTACAAATAAGACGATGCTTCCTCAAAAGATGAACAATGTGTATGTCAGTATTTGAACCATCTTGCACTTATTGCCACAGTCTTACCAAATGCAACATTTATTGTGGCAACATTGTTAATTCGTAATATGATTATTTAAGATTTGCATTGTGGTTGCCGCAGAGGCTGATATAAATCTAGTAACGAGAACGTTCAGATCCAAATACTGTGAGAAATATACTTCTTTAACCATAGATTAATGACTTCAACGATCACTCAACAGCTTTTATTCCACATTTGTGGGTATTGCGGACCAGAGAACAGCTTTGAGTATGATCGAGCCTTTTTGATCACACTCACTAAAAATCAAGCACAAGCGAACGCCACACTCGGCTACTATGTGTTCGATCGAGATGCATACCCGACAGCTGCTTTGGTTACGAACGAGTCTGTTCGATCACCCTCGCTATAAATTGAGCACAAGCGAACACCACACTCGGACACCCGCAGCTAACCCGAAAATTTGTGTAACAATGAAACGGACACCCGAACATTGCGATAAAATGCAGGACAACGAAGAAATTTACGCTGAAGGTAACTGGCGCCAATATGTTCCCACAAAGCATACGAAAATGTTGTTGCTTTGTGCTTGTGCATACGCAATGAAAAAATTAGAAGCGAAGTAGACAAAAATGTGTTTGCATCTATTTCGTATAGTTTCGCGTGGAAAGCTGTGTGTGTATATATTAGAACACAGCCTAAAACTATGTAGGTACATAAATACTTTTACAAAAAATAAATGTGCTCCGAGTGTATAGGGCTTGGGCATTGCCGATCTACACACATTTATACCTAAATGGATGTAGGCGTCGTGATGCCGCATTTTGTATGAGCAAAAATATAAGAAATGGTTAAATGTACATTTAAACAAACTACCGAAAAATTCAACCTTCTCTTTACCCTCTACGCACAAAAACTAAGAGTACCGCTATGAGAAGGCAACATTTTTTGTAGAAACAAAAACGTCATAAGCCAATCAAGAAAATTTTGTGCACACTCGGGTTGAAACTCGAACACCCGGGTATATTGAGCTGCAAAGCACCCGAACCCAATCAAGTATGTATGAAAAGCAATCGGGTGTTGTGGCCAACATGTTCGTCTTGAGCTCAGTCGATAACGAACAATACTTCTGCTCGTATACAGAGAACGATGCAAAACGGGTTTTGTTAGATGATCGAGTATACACGAAAATCATGCACCCGCTGCAGATGTCTGTTGCGGACTCTTGTTAGAAATTCTAATATTTCAGTACCGAGTATCGAAAGTATTGGATACTTTTTAAGTCGATACCGAGTATCGATCAATACTTAAAAGTACCGACTTAGCACATCACTATTGGAGAAAGTGCAAAAAAAGTTGGTGTTTTTTTAGATTCAAATGTTTTTTTTTTTAAATCTGTACGTTTGTAAAATAATGTCCCATACAAGAAATTAGAAGAGAGACACACAGGATGGCGAGTTCATATACATACGCACAATGACAATCAGAACACAATAATCGGTCAACAAGCACATCATTTTGACAATCGGCACAATTTACCTTGAAATCAGCTGCTCTGGTAATGAAATCGAGAGTAACTAATTTTAGATCACTTTTAGTTGGTCCGCTCCCAGTGTGTACAGTCGCATAAACATGCGACAATACCCAATCGGAAAATGACCAGTGCATTACGAGTAGGTACCTGAGTAGTATGCGAAATAATTTATGTCACGGGTTTGTTGATTATTTTACTGCTTGTACATATATACCTACGTACGTACTTAGATATCTTTGTGCATATGTGCATATGTATACAAATATATTAGACTGCATCACCAAAATAAATTTCGGTTTTTCCGCCGGGATTACAAAATATATTATAGTATTTGAAGACTTCCACCAAAATATTTCGGAAAAATATTAAGATTTACGTGAGCTGGAATGACGCTCGTCCATCCTACCTTTCTCTTTAACACTTTGAATGAGTTTATTTGCAAAGAAGTAAAAAGGGTGAGAAAATACCTTTCCACTGATACCTTATTCGTCTAAGTCGGTGTAGTTTTGACACAGTTATTCAAGTTTTTCTTAAACCAATCTTTGAAAAAAGTTCAAAAATAGCATCGAAAATCTTATTATTACGATTCCGTAGAAAAATATGTTTTAAATATTTATATGTAAATTTTTTAATCTTAAACTGTTTTGTCATCTGAGGCAATTAAAAAAGATCTTTAAAAAACTATTTTTATTCATAAAAAAAATCCATTTTTGGAGGTATTTTCAAATTGGTTCAGCTGACGTAACTCCCGAAACTATATTTAGGTGCAAGTCTTAAATATAATAGATTTTATAATTCCAATGGAAAAACAGTACAGTTTTTTTTTGTATAGGGAGTGATGATATACATACTTACATATCGAACCTTTAATAATATATTTAGATAACTGTTTCAAAATTTAAATTTTGTTGGAAAACGCAACCAAAGTTTCATCCATTTATACAGTATCACATATCCTCGCCATTTTTGGGAAGTTTAGTTATATGTTAAATTGAACCCATTCTAGGTTTACCAGTGGACATTTACTCCAGGTAAGATTCAGAAGGAAGACGCTTGGGAAACAATATATTTTGATAAAAAAGTTTTAAATAAAAAATATGTACATAATATGTTCTACATATACACTTGTGGTCAGCTGATTATGTTAAGTGACATTTTGGCTATTTTTCTCTTCTTTATTTAATAATTATTATTTTTTACAAAAGCCTAAGTACTTATATAACAAGCACCATATAAATCCAACTTTCGAACTTTGCACACAAATTATAAACATTCAACAAATTTTAGCAATTTCCGTCAAAAATTTAAAACTTTAATCTAAATTTAGGAAAATTTTAGGTATACAGTTTTATAGCCCATAAAATTTGAGTAGGATAAAGTGCGAGTTTTAAGACGCTAAAAAATCGCGTTGGTTTTTTAATAATTTGTTCGGCTGATTATAATTTCACCTATACAGGCATAGCTACATACATGCGATGCATTGTTGCTTCGAAACGTGATTGTGTAGAAGATGTTCCGAACATATTATTAAAAACATTGCCAAAAATTACAAATAAAAAAAATAACTTTAGAAGTATTATGCGAAAAATAAAAAATGCAAAAAAGGAGAACATTTCAGTCAAAAAGGAGGACATTGCGTTTTCAAGCAAAAAAGAGGGCATGGAAGGCGTCTGGTAACCCTACGCTTATCAAGCTTATTAATTGTTTCATGAAATCTCTAGAATCGTAAATTTTTAATTCTATAAATATATATTATTATATATACACATTTAAAATATAACAAAGTTATTCATATATAAGTAAAAACATGCATATGTTACGATACTTACAAGCACAATTACTCCTTGCAATGAACAAAATGTTGCCTCACTTTGTTTACCAAGGCTGGCGTGAAAAAGGCATTACAATGCATTATTTGTTCCCACTGGGTCAGTTTAATTCCGAGCAGTAAACAGTATAATGGCTTTCAACATAAGCATGTGTCTCCGTGGCCTGCAACCAGCAGCTGAGCCTTGTATTCTAAAACAAATTTATACACGCAATAATAAAAAATACAACGCAAACGAAATAACAGAAACAAAAATACATAAGAAACAGGACATACTTACATAAGCACATGGCAACAAAAAGTATAAACAGAGTTCAACGCAAATATGGTATAAATATACATACCTTACATACATATGTATACTATATAGTGGTCCACAAAATAAAAGGAGTGCGATATTTTGACAAGTTTTGGCTATTTGCCTTTTGTTTATTTAATGTTTTATATTTTTTATGAAATTCTAGCTGGTTATTCAACAAACACCATGTAAATTCAGATTTCAAACTTTGTACAATTATAAAATTTTTTTCAAAAATCGGAATTTTTACCAACTTGAAACTTGCGCTTCATTATCTATACTAGAATTAAATTTTTTTTTTTAAATTCTGAGTAAAAAGTTTGAATATTTGGTGAAAATTTGCAGAACTTTAAAATTTTTATACAAAGTTTGAAATCTGAATTTACATGGTATTTGTTGTGTAACCAGCTAAGCTTTTATTAAAAAATAATAAACATTAAATAAACAAAGGACGAATAGTCAAAACTGGTTAAAATATTGCACTCCTATTATTTTGTCAACAACTGTATATACGTATATGAGAGTAAAACGATTCGTACATATGCACTTAGCTACAAAACATCATTACGGCGCGCAACGGACAAACTCGTGAGAAGGCAGGCAAAATGCAGACCGTCAGACCAACATTGATATTTTTCACATTTTCCAATGTCAGCAGGTTTTTCCTCCTCGGTCGAACACACACTAACAAACGCTTTTGTATAGGATATAATAGCCCGGATGAGTTGTACGACGAATTGTAAGTCGGCGCCGTCGGTGTTCAAAACGTTTCTCCATTGTTCCGGCTCCTTGTTAGTTGTTCGCTGGTAAAGTAGGTTAAACGTAGCCAATTTAATGACTTTAGCACCTTTACACCCAGTGTTTGCATTCGTTTCTTTGGTCATGAGTTGACTGTTTTGGAAATCCCGCAGACTTTTCGCATTCTGAAAATATATGAAATATCTAGGTAGAAATTATTTTAATCCTTAAGTTTGTTTGTTATGTACATATGTATGTACATACATATGTATTTAGAGGTCTAAAATTAAATTTCATTAGCAATTGTTAGTAAGATGAGTGAAAGTATTTTTGGCTCATCACTAATTTGTTTGAAGTTGGTTTAAATGGATTATGAAGTCAAATACAGATTATCCTGCTATTTTTAAATAATTTTACAGCACATGAAAATTGCTGTTACTTACATACATACTCATGGTAGTTTGGAGTTCAACTGCGGCCCGAAGGATTATACTATGTTATGTCTAAATTGGCTCTTGTGTACTTCTCTTGTTGAATATTCATACATGTGAAAGTATGTACATAGATATTCATTTACTTAAATATCGTTACCTTATTATAGAGTGCTGTGACATAGCACCAAGAGGCATAATCCAATTTCAATTTGGGATTATGTCAATTCTTGTATAGTGACATAAACCCAATTTTTTTACTTGGAGTTATATCACTATATAAGGAGTGACATATTTCCAAACTAAAAGGCTACAAAATCCCAAATCAAGCCTGTAATTATTCAAACCAAAATAATTTGGAATGTGCAAGAATAATGATAAAATTGGCCGGGATGGGCGATATCGGGAAGATCTGTAAAAATAAAAATATCCCAAAATCCCAGGATCACAATTTTCCTCATATTTTGGCATCCCTAATCCAAATTGGGGTTATGCAACTTCGCTTTCTACAAAAATCGGTAAATTGCAGCGCAAATTGATAGATTACCCACTAAAAACCTAATAGGATGTACATATAAATACTCTAGCATAAAATTAGTAGCCTTCCGCGCTATCGCTTTGGTAATTTATAAAAAAATTGGTAATTTTTTCCTTTTTTATCATATTTGGCAATTAATTTTTAAATTTGGTAACTCTTTCGATTCGGTCCTACATGTCACATAGGTCAATACAGGTTCTGGTTCCACATTAGGAAGTGGCCCGTAAGCGTTTCCTTTTATAGAAATACCAGGTAATCCTGAAGGTTAAAATCAGTTTTCCTATAAAGGTAAAATTACATTTCTTATAATACTTTCACACCCAGATATGTAGACTTACTATGGTATTTGTTTACCATTTGTTATCAATTTAAATGAAACAGCTGTTCTTGTCTAGCTAAAATATTTTCAAAGCACACATTTTGTACTTAAAAGTCGCGAAAATTTCCATAAGCCATAAAAAATTAAGAATAAACATGTTTCCCTCAACCTCGATTGCGGTACATGTATATAAATTCAAATAATAAATTGATGAAACTCGCATGGAAGCTACAGTAAAAGGGCAATTGAGCGATGCTTCCAATCCTCTGGAGATGACCTCGATAATGTAAGAACTTGGAATGAGTTTTATTTGTTAATTATTAAAAAAATTTTTTAGATTTCAGAGAAACTTTCGATTTTCGAAAGCTGTTATATATCGTCACTAGACACGAATAAAGGCGCGAGCTCCAAAGAAGAAAGACTCTTAACATAGTTGACGGCGAAGTAAGACGCGTTAAAATATTTGATGGCCAAGAAGGACGCGTAAACTTATTTTTGCGGTCAACTATGTTTGCGGGTGTAATAGTATGTACATTCCGTTAATAGTTTTTGGGGAATAGTGAAGTGACAGTCCTTCGCCAAGTATAAATCTATGATTACGCGTCTTTCTTCCCCGAAGTTTTTCTTAAGCGCCTTTTTTCGTAAAATTTTTTTCGCCGTCGAAACACTAGCACGCCTTTATTCGTGTCTAGTGACGATATGTTCTATTTAACAGAAGTAGAGAACGACTTGCGCCCACGTAAAAGAGCCGCCCATTCCAAATATACTATTTAAGGTTTTCACAACTCAGAGATTTCTTGCTCAGGGATTGTAAAGAGAGTGTTAGCAATGAGGCGTTACTTCGATTAGCCCAACCTACTACGGTTTCTATTAGCTCTGATCCAATACTTTTCGTGTAAAATCCTGTAAAAATGTCGAACAGCAAAATTTCTCTCTGAAGTGAGAGTACAAAGTGAGTAACAGCCAAAAAGTACGGGAACAAAAAAGCATTTTTCCTGTAAAAACGTCAAACAGCCGACCGCTTGACACTTTTCATGATTTTACCAGAAAAAAGAGTTCAGGTAAAATCTTGCATCTTCATTCTCTACACAACTCTCCGAAAATTGCTCTCATTTACAAGATTTTGGAGTATGGGAACATTTTTCCTGTAACTTCCTGCAAGTTCGTGTAAAAACCTGTAAGTTCATGGAGTACTGGATCAGAGCTATTGTGTTTACAAAAATGTGCATACTTCAAACCGAATTTATCAATAAACTAGTGCTCGTAAATTTGAAATCTTTATTGTAAATTAAATTTTAATCGTATAAAAATTAACAATCGCTTGCAAGCGTATGATATTGAACAGCTGATACCATAGCTATCGTATGGCAATACCAAAATTTAACGCTATACAATAAACGGTAGCTTTCGAATTTCACACGCTGAATTTAATTCGTAATACGGCACAACAGACTGCAAGCGTTTATCGTCTATCGTAAGCATTCATAATAGGGGGATGAATCATGAAATTGAGTACAATTATTTATGAATACCGGTAAATACAAGTGGAACTCAGTACTTTAAAATATCTATTCGACACTTAATACTTACTATCCCGGATGAAGCCGTGGAGGTCCGATCTTTTCACCTCAGCTATGTATCTCCCCGAAGCTATTGAAAAAGCGGGAGCCCAAATGCCTGAGATGCCTTGTCTGGAGAGCTAGGCATTGTCATAAGAAGTGGTGAATCGATTCCTCTTCATCCTCATCCTGACAACTTCTGCAAAGGGAGCTTGTTGGTATACGCAATCGATGGAGCATTGGCGCTAAAGCACGGTACCCTATAATGACGCCGCGGCCGGTAAGAGCCCTTACTGCAGATTTGTTTAGTGTCAATAATTCCTCAGTACGACTCCTGTTAAGTTTCGGGCTCAAGTTCTGAGTACTTTCGAGTTTTTTTTTTGTGAGTACTGTAGAGGTGCAAAACTATCGATGGCACTATCTATAGTATCGATGTTTTTATATTTTTCCCTACTATCGATTGTTTTTTGGTCCTATCGATAGTCCGACAGACATGTGATTCAGTATTTATTTTAGTTTTATTTCTTCTTT